GATCTAAAGCCTGTGAAACATATGAAATTTCTTACTACTTTTTGTAACGAAATAATGATAGTAGGGCCTCATGATATTTTCAGGGAATGTTCCATAAACCTAAATGAGTTCAGAGATGGCCAGCGGCATGACATGTGGTTGTCTCTACAGAATGTTAAAGTAGGACGGCTACATCTTGCAATTACTGTGACTGAGGGCAATGGAAAGGTGATCTTGGTGCTTGATTTAAGTAGTTACTTGCCTGTCTTTTTTAGGGTTCCCGTTGTGTTCTTGATGATAGTGATATATAATTACTAGTTTGCTGAAACCAGAAGAAGAAACTTGCAAGGATTAATTGATTGTTTCAGTTTACATTATTCCCAAGAGTTTAATTAATGGCTTTGCAAGACATATTACTCAATTATTGTAAAACCTGTGACTATTGTCGACACAAAGGTGCTTGAGGGCTTTGTGAGACATGGTGCTCGTTCTTTCGGATTTTGTGTTTACTGTTCCCTGAGTAATAATTCATGTGCAGGGGTCTAATGAACCATTTGGAAAAGAGAATTTAGATGAATATAAAAGAGAGTCATTTGCAACCGATTCAACTAATCAAGGTTCCTTCTCATCGGTTACATCTGAGAAATCTCTGAAAGTAGCAGATGCTTATGAGCCTATAGATGTTGAAGGGCAACAGGAAACTGGGATATGGGTTCATCGTCCAGGGAGTGAAGTTGCTCAAATATGGGAGGCAAGGAAGGGGAAGAGTAGGATCCTTGACACCAACATTCATGGTGAGGGTGTTGACTCTGCAGGCACCTTCAAGTCAACAGCATCTGGATCACGTAACAATGACAGTAGGAATGCAGAAGAAACTGCAGGTGCTGAAAAAGAGCATTCTGCAAATGCTGTAAAAAGGGGCTTACATAAGATGAGTTCATTGTTTCATCGAGGACAGAGAAGTGAGAAGTCTGTTTGTGTTGAAGAGCCACTTCCATCGCGACACATTAATCTTCGATCCATGAATTCTGACGAAATTGGTGTGAAGTTCATAGTGGATGACCCTGTTACTGCTCCATCTGCTCAAAACATTCCGCAACCAGATGGAAAAGAAAGTTCTGAAGATAGTGGGCCCGAAAGTCCACACAGGGGCAAGGTAAAAGACAGGGCAAAAAGCATTTTAAAGCAATCTGCTTATGGCATAAGGCACGCTCTTTCCAGGAAAGGATCAAAGAAATTTTATTTTGAATCAAAATCACAACCTACAGAAAGGGATGTTTCAGTGGAATCTACTACTTCTGAAGAGGATTTACTTCCATCAGTGGTTTATACCCCTCGTGTTGAACCAATCTCGGTTGTCTCCTACCCCATCTCTGATCATGACAAAGACTCCTCTAGTCCTAGTAAAAACAGAATCCAGTCTCCTTCGAGTGATGTTGTAAAGGATATTGTAATACAAGAAGAAAAGGTTATTCCCGAATCTAAAATAGGTGATGACGAATCCGGCTGCATTCAGAGAAATGAAGTAATTGAAGAATCTAAGAGTAGTCCCAAGCTGCCTGGTGGAGATATGAAGGTAGACAAATAGTTTTTATTTTTTTCTTAGGCTCAAGAGGTAGTTGGTCATGTGTTAAAAGTGCATACTGGTTGGGAGATAGACTTGGCTTTGTAGATTGAGGTCTTTGGTGATCTGTATGTACAGCTGTTTTTGCTGGATATCATAGACAGAGTCATGCTTGTTTGATAGTACATAGTTTTTGGTTCCTGTAATTTGTTCAATCTGTTGGCTGATGTTTAAAACTGAAGAGATTTTCTGTAAAGATGTTCGAATTCTTTTTAGTGACGGCAATTATGAAAACTACCTTAGCACTTTTGCTGATATTCACTTTCCGCATCTTCTGCGACTGGGTAACTTTCTGTCTAATGTGCTCATGCATCGTGACACTACAGGTCCCAAAACGCTATATTGTCGTGACACTAGGAAATTGCCGCAGACTTAAACTCGAGCAAAAACTGCAGTTGTAAATCAGCTACTTTAAAGTCCAAACTTAGAAGTACTGCATTTATAAATCAGATCCTTTCGAAATTTGAGTTCAGTATGAACAGCTATTGAAAGTTGTGTGTAGTGATCAATTGAATATCCTACTGTCTCGATATTTTTAAGGCTATCTGGGAAAAAATTTCATTAACCACACAAAGAAGTCCATTCATAAGCTGAGTGCTAGAAGAATAGTATAGAGATTCAAGTATTATTTTTTGAGGGAGAGGGGGACCTTTGTGGCCCTTGACCCTTCTGCAGTCATTAGGTGTGAACCATTTCTTTTGTTTACTGATTTCGTTGTTTAAGACCACCATGGGTCTGTCGATGATACTGAAACCACCAGAAACCACAGAAACAGCCAGAATGAAAACTCTAGGATATCTATGAGCTAACCAGAAATCTGGGCTGGTGCGTAAAATGTATTATCTTTCAGGAATGTTGGATATTGAAATGACAGTTTATCCCCATTTTACATGCTTGGTGATGCCAATAGATAACAGAACAGCTGCTGTTGCATTTCTATGACTTTAAGCTGTCCCGAGGAAACAAAATTTTGTGAGCTCCAGCTCTTTCCCCTGCTCAGCTACTCGGAGAACTAAAATCTGCTATCAGAGTTCTTTTCACAAATTCAGAAAAGAAATCTGGGCAACCATACCAAGTGACGGATAAATCTCGTAGACATCTCACTGTTAGTACTGTTAAAGTATTCAGTTTGATCCCAGTTCAGCAGCAGAGAACTGCCAGAAGTTGCACATCTGACTATTCAGGCAAGTAAAACCAGTACATAGACCATCATATTGACAGCCTATACAACACTTTCTCAATGCCAATGCAGGTGTTATTTAGCTGTGCCACCAGTGAAGGAAAGCAGGAACTTGGCTCAATCTATGACTAAAACCAATCAATGGGTCCCCTGACTTTTGCCCTCGAAGCATTAAATCTTTTGATTACTGACTAACATCACAGCTACTTCGACTTCCATCAGCAGATCGTACACATATATCATGCTGGATTAGCTTCCAACAATTTCTTCGTAAGGGAAAATGGTAGACTCAATCCTACCAGAAACCAGGCACTGAACAATGCGCTTCCACATCCCCATTTTGGGAACAAAACCCTGTCTTGTCATTTGTTTCAACGCCCATTCGACATCTCCCACAAGATTTTCATTGCAAAACCCTTGTATCACCAACTTGTAAGACTCGAAACTTGGATTTACACCCTTCTGAATCATTCTACACATCAAATCTTTCGCCTCAACAAACCTCTTGGCATCAAGTAAACAATACAAAACCTCCTGATAAGTTCCAGGATTTGGATCGCACCCTTTAATCATCATCCTATCATAAAGCTTAATACCCTCTTCGACTCTTCCACTCTTTTTAAGCCCTGAGATCAGTATATTAAAAGTGATCGCATCAGGCTCAATACCATCCCTTTCCATCCTATCTAGCAACCCAAATGCATCATCAGGACGCCCACGATCACATAAACCATGCATTATAGTGGAAAACGTTCTCACATTAGGCCTAAAGTTCTGCTTCGGGAATTCATCAAGCACAGCAAAGGCAGCATCGATCTTCCCACATTGGCACAACCCTTTGATCATAATATTCAAACTACAAGCATCAATTTCAACTCCCAACCTAGAAGCACCCATATAAACCTCGTGAATAACTTCAAATTGCTTAGCTGAAACAAGCAAATTCAGCACAAAATTGAAGGATTTAACAGTAGGCCAGCTCTTATAACTATGCATATCAAAAAGGGTCTTAATAGCACTATTTATTCTCCCACCTAAATTACCATAAATCTTCATAACATTAACAAAAAACTCCTCAGAAAGTCTGCATTTTCTTTCAAGCTTGATTTTTTCCATAAGGGCTTCAATTGCATCAAAATCTTTGGCTAGTGCAAGCTTATTTATGACTGTAGAGTAAAGGGCTTCATTGGGATTGTAGTCTTTCCTTTGCGAGATTTGATTGAACAATGGAAGAGTAAAGTTGGGATCTTTAAAGGATTGGAATATTTTGATGGTCTCATTTGGGCTTAACCAGTCTTTGTGGTTGGCTAGGTTGGGGATATGGGATTCTTGGGATGGAGAAAATGGATGAGAGGACGTTAAAAAATTTGATCTTTGCAGAAGAGATTGATAGAACAGTGAAGATTTCAAGATGGCTAGCCGGAATTTGGCGTTCTTGACAAGCAACGAACGTGAAATCATGGTCTTCCCTCTGAGATTGTGTCCGACGAGCTACAGGATGGCTTCAAAGCTGCCTAAAGTCTGCACCTTTTATGTCATCCGTCTTCTTCATTTTTCTCATAATTTGATCTATCTTTTTCATTTTTTGTCTAAATCGTTTTTTGTCATTAATGTTTGATATTTTGGTTCTTTTTTATTTGTTGTAATATCACGTAAATGTTTAAAATTTACAGATGCATATAAGGCAACATATCCACACTAGCAAATTCTTGGCTCTTAACAATAATGTATACATTCAAACTTGTTATTTTCTTGTTTTTTACAAATTATGTCAGCACAGAATTCGACTTAGGGTTGAAAGAACAAGTCTAGAATAGATGCAATACTAAAAAAATACCTTCAGCTGGCAGAATTACAGCAAAACAGTATACACCAGAAGTGTTTAAAATGTAATAATATCTTTTAGACAAGAGGTCTTGATTTTTAGATCTAATTGCGGGAACATTTGTTTACAAGATCATCATATGCTTTGCACAGAGAATGTGAAATGCATTGATTGGTCTACAATGCATATGAGAATCAGTTCAAGAAAGGAAGTCACGATTTAATTTGTGCAACAAAATTATCTTGAATAGTCACCTCTTTCATTTATAGGGTGGAAGCCATTTTTTATTTTCCCACAATTTTCATAATGAATTATTCAGCCCAAATAAAAAAAAAATTAACTTAGGCGACATGTAAAAATTAACAAAATTATGCTAGTAAAATACACTAGCATCACAGCAAGAAAACATCATTTAAGTTTCAAGAATACTTGATGCAACAATTAAGTCCAACTTTAAGCCTGTAAAAGGTGTATGATTGTCACTAGGACAATTCATTGTTATAGGCGGATGAATGCAATTGAAAGCCAATAGGAGCTTAAACATCTAAGCCTGTCTCCTTATTCCCTGAATAAATAATGAGCTTAGCATAGGATAATTGGTTATCCTAACTATACACGAAAATGATTTTCGTATTACTTCTGCATGTACAGATCTTATGTACATTAAACTCGATTACAGTTAAGATCATCTATGCTTCTTCTTCTTTGCTGCAAGAATTGGTTGAATGTGCAGTCTCCTACTGAAAGCCTCGTTGAAAAGGAAACGAGTCTGGAAAGCTGAAATGATGGGAAGCCATGCCAGACAAGCAATTGGTGCAAAAAGAACTATACCCATGCCATAATCATATGCTTGAACAAAAACCCTGGTGAAATGCCACAATGCAGTGCCTTCAATCTTGGGTCTAACAGCTTGTGCAACCTGGATATATTGTCACTTTAGTAAAAGAAGTGTACAGGTCATACATGACTGCTTTCATAATCAAACGAGGTTCATTCTGAACTTACCAATATCAACCCCCAACCAGTTGGCAGAAAGGCCAGACAGCAAACAACCAAATCCTTGAAAGATAGATCACAAATGATTGACAGAGTAATAATGGTAGCCAGAACTCCAAGGAAAATTAGTGCTTTAAATAGCCGGAATACTAGGTGATAGTTCGCACTGAAATATTTCCTCCCCAAGTTCACCACCTGTATAGCATGTTTCATAGGTAGCACAGTTGAGGATCCATTACAAACTTACATGAACGCGAGTTATAAACACATTGTCTGTGAAGCTTAAGAAGACATGTAAAACTATAGCTATAGTTCTTTCAATCATATCGGCATCTCTTCCCTAAAGATGAAAACATAACAAAAAGGATGCACACATTGTCAAAAATTAGAAGATTGGGAGGTGGGATTTGGAATCACTACACAACAAGAAACACACTCCATTAAGCGCTGCTAGAATATCGTTTATAAGATACCATCCTTATTAGTGTCCAATTTGACTTCTGGTGGAGCTCAAACTAACATGTTCTCACATCCTGCCAGATATATCTAAAAAGAAAATTTAAAAAAAAACCAAGATTCATTCAGTCTCTGAAGCTCTGAATTTGATTTTCAACTTAAGTCCATCTTAAAGCCCAACAACATGGTGGAATTACTACAAGAAATTGTAGGTGACAATAAGGTAGCTTAAGAACAAGAGAACACCAATCCTGAAGCCATTAGTCAGGCACCTGAAAGCCTTAAATGATGTCTCTATAGAGTTTTTCCACGTCTATATCATGTAAAGAACCTTAAAAGTAAAATATTATTGATTGTGACTGATAAGGTTCCAGTCAGGTGAGTAAAAATGAAGGGGATGGAAACACACCATTATTGCATCTGATATGCATCAATTTAGTGCGATGTAATTGTCGCTACTGAATTATCAAATGAAAAAGCATCTAAACTACACATGTGGCACAAAGGGTTTATGGTCAAAGTAAACTTGTTGAAACATATTAAAGGCAACAACACTGATCTACATGAGGAAACAGCAGAAGGGAATTTTAATCTCATGCCTATAGGATGGGTTTTGAGTTACCTTGATCAGCAGAAAAATCATGACAATGACAACCCATGAGAGGACATAAACGATGAAATTTTTGTTTTGCCTGGATATGTCAAGGTGATAGACCAATCCATACTGATAAATGAAAAATCTAAGTGAAAGCAGGATTTCTATCAACCGAGAACCCAGCCCTGAATGACGAAGATGGTCTTGCTCATCATACCACCAGGACTGCCAACTCTTGTCTTGGTGGATTCCAATTCCACCTTGCTGCACAATCCACTTGTTCCAACCCTTCCAGTCATCAACTATCTTACCCCAGTTGAAACCCGAAGGATTAAACAGAAATGGCGCGAACAACCAAGTCATTGACATGAACCATATTGCATACGTAATTAACACATAAGCCATGTTGCTTTGGAAGGACCGCCTAAACAAATCATACACAATCAACAGAAGCAGCAACTCAAATCCTTTTACAAAGTGGCTGCGAGAGTACAGCCTATAGTTCTCAGTGAAGCTGGCATGGAAAACCACCACCTTACGGCCAGTTGGTCTATACTTGGCTCCTCCATGAAGAATAGTTCGACCATAATAGTGAGATTTTGTTCCAAAAGAAAAAGTAAAGAAAACGGCTGCTAGCTGCAGTTGCATGAGAACAAAATCTTTAAGAGCATTAAGGAATCCTCTTTCAAGTCCAATCTCTATCACCATAGGTAAGCCTGTCAAGAGCCCAAGCTGGATAAATGACTGGGAGGCCAGAGCAGTTTCTAATGATTTTATGTTTTGTATTCTAGCCTCAAGAAGCAGTGCTCTTTGTAAACCACTAAGGACCAGGTATAGCTGCCCATATAGGAATACGTATATTCCAATTACTGATATCTGCATAATGTCAACAAGCATGAATATTTATTCCAGAGTCTGCATAAGCAAAACGCAGACTGTAGAAGGCAAAAGGAATATAGACTTAATTTTGCATGTGAAAATTACTATTTCAACAGTAAGCAATCTTTCTAACGAAGAACTATTGCTCTCGGTAGAGAAACTGACAGAGATGCAGCATGAAGTGCAACAAATCATATTTACTTGATTCTATCGCATTTTTTTGGAGCAGAATTGGTGATATTTAAGAGGTTAAAGCACACTAATGTTTCAAGATTTTTTTGTTTTGTTCTAAGAATGTCTGCTGGAAAACTCTCGAGATTAAACAGAAAAGTGCTAGATAAAATCATAAAATTTGTAATTCACTTCAAAAAGAAGGATATTTGATTACCAGGCTGTTAAAGTAAAAGCCAATGGTGGTGAAATAACAAGAGAGCATTCGGAAGAAGTCAAATCGACGCCCAAGGCAGTATATATCACGGCTTAGAGTTTGTTCACTGTTGCCATTTGCTACTTTGGCTTCAAACTTTGAAATTTGGTTGAGACCAACATCACGCCCTTTGCCAACTTGCATATACTCGTGATAAGTGATATTTCCCCGTCGCAGTGTAGTATTAAAACCTACAGCACATAAAATTAGTTCACCAGAACAAACTAAAAATCCTACCATCCACAATTTTATGTCTTCAAAAGTTTGACTTGGCATGATACTTCTAACAAGAAAGTGCAGTATCTTTATCTGTAGGAACCACCATATGCAAAGACTGAAGTCTAAGGAGAAAGTTTGAAGCATGTGAGAATATTTAATTCCATACAAGTTAATTAGAGGAAACACATTAGCTTATAGTCTTAAGTTTTGTTTTCAATAAAAAATGGAGAATATTATCCAACGGATAGTAAAGTAAGAGATTTAATAAAAAAAGTAATGCATCTACTGAAACAAGGAATCACTTTTACTACCTGCAAACACATCCTCGCTCAAGTTTACTGTCTTTGATGCTTTGCTAACTCCACCTCTTGTTAGGTGAAAAATTCTCTCAAACAAATCAGGATGTCCATAATGGAATCTAACCCTGTATTACAAGTTTAAGAGGAAAACGTCACACAAGCATAAGCACTTTTCTTAATATCAGATTAATAGAATAAAGAAATTGATAAAAAAAAACCCTGCATGCAGCTTGTCTGTGATAACTAAATGTCAATCGTACTTCAAAGTACTAAATAATTATTCATAGAATTTCAGGTTCTTGTGCATTACTATGATAGCTTGGCACCAATATGACAAAACAAGAAAAATTTTACATCTCAGTTGTAAAAAACAAACATCAGCTAATATCTCTTTTATTCTCTAGTCAGAAGACACCAATATAAGTTATCATACATAAGTAATAGAACAAGGCATTAATAACCTGAGTGGATTAGCTAGAAGTCTTTGGCCGATGGTAACAAAGCTGGTCTCTTGATATGACATGAACCATGCTAAAGAAGATACACTGCAAGTGGAGAGGTAGATAAGATCATTCAGCAGGTTTCAAAAAGGTGGTAGAAGTTATAATTGGACTTAGCCATATCCAGAATTAGTATTCATGAGTCCTAAAAGCTGACCTTCCTGTAAATATGTGTTCTCTCATCCCAAGAATTGTGGGAGGCCTCGGTCCTCGCTCGCGGAGGAATTCTTGTAAGATATTTCTCATCTTGAAAGCTTCTTCCATATAATTATCCTACAAGAAACAAGCTCAGGATGACAATATCCTCAACCATCTTATCTTCACCTAGTCAAGGCTGAACTTACTTGGTTCATATCTATTGCTTGGAGAGCTTCACCACGGGTGAAGATTATTGAGTGGTTCTGATTCTCGGGTTTTCCTTCCCCAATATTTGGTGGACCTGGGAGTTTTATGCGATATATCTCCTACAAAAGCGGAGGGATCTAAAAGTGAAGCACAATACTGATGTAGGAAAACAGAGAAGACATTGTTCAAATGCAGAGACTCAAACCTATCTTTTGATGGTATTAAGACTGTAGGAATGCATGTTTTTAGTTAATTTTGAACAGTGAATGCTTTCTGCTACCAAGAAACACACTTCTATGGAAGTTCAAGTCAATTATGAATAGGCATTATTAATTATTTTAATGTTCTATAGAGGGGAAACATATTTTGATGAATCCTGCAATTCTTTCATTCACTTTTCGTTTAAACATATGTTGCAGTTCCTCTTCCACATATAATTTGTATGCTGTGCTTTTACCATGCAAGCATATGGCCTGAATCACTTCATGGTCTTTGTTGTATGAATGCACTTCTATCAAATTAAGCACTTCTATCTTGTTCACAGTTCTTTTTAAAATGCTGCACAAATCAAAGGTGGTACCTGGTCAAAACCATTGACAGCTTTGACTAATACAGATGAATATACTGTAGGAGGCCTATCTGATACAATCTTCTCTTTCTCTGATACAATCTTCTCTTTCTCTTCAACATAAGCAACACGGAGTGAAGGATACCTACAAGAAACAATTATGTAGGTAAAACAAAAATGCACTAAAGAATTCTCAGTTTAAACAAGAACTACCACAATAGTCAATTGAAAAGTTCCTTAAATAGTCAACTCTCTTGCACACTTAGTTCGTTCATCTGCAATATCTATGCTTTTCATTAAAAATTTTACCTTATCATCAAGTCAAGTATGTCTTGAGCCTGAGGGTTTCCAGAAGATTTATGTGAACCAAACATTTGACAAGAAATAACATGCGTAAATTTCATGTCCGCAAGTGCATCAAGTTGAGCTGATAATGTATCGTTCCCCTTCCCTATGGCATCATAACCTTGAAGAATATCTGTTTAAGAGAATTCAAAATTTGCAACTAGTTTAAATGCTTATTAAGCAGGCAACAGGTTGAAAAAAAAAGGTATCAAGCTCTGCTTTTTTCTGTAATAAGTAACGTTTCATGCAATCATTAAAGAATAGTAGTAGGAAGCAGGCCAGTAATGACAGATACCATCATCTGCAGCCATGTCAAGAAATGCCTGCAACTTTAGGGCTTTCTGATAGTACATCATCCCCCGAACTGCAACGTGTATATGAGAAAACTTAGAAGTAAACTGTAATAGTTTTTAATTTTTATTATTCAGAAAACAGACACCAGTTTCCTAAGAATAAAATGGCACCACAAACCTGTTCGGCATAGAGTTTGCCCTCGAAAAGAAGCCCAATTTCTAAGATCCTCCTCATTTATTTCATCATTTGATGCATTAACGTTTTCAGTTCCAACACGTTCCAAAAAGTTTTCCCACTCATCTGAGAGACAATGATAAAAGGAGAGTTGAGTAATCTGGACATGCTTTAAAATATTAACTTTCCAATACTACTGAAAAGGAAAAGAAGAATATATAAATCACAGCCTTAAGAGGTCCTGTATGCAGTAACCTGGGAATATCTTCTGCATATAAAAGAGGATTGAAACGCCTTCTTTGTTAGAATGAAGCTCTTCTGATGAATATTTCACATCCTCCATGTAGTGAGGAGTCAGAACACTGTTTAAACAAAAGCCTCCAGGTCAGGACAAACTATAGGTATCACAATATCTTCAGATAATAATTAGCAATAATAGTATGTCATGGAATTCAATGACTATAATGCTGTCTCTTTTGTTGTCAAGTGGTTTAGTAATTAGAAACTCTACTATTAAATCAGAAGAGTGCCTGGCAATAATACTTCCAGAAAACCACCCTTATGTTTGACCTGAAAGATAACATGTTGCGCACTTTTGGTGCTCTCGGCATATCCATAAACAAAGAAGTTGCAAAAAATGAAATCCGTCTTTGAGCTTCCAAGTTTGATGGTATGTCCATGGCTTTATCTCTTGTGGTAAGCAGCAAAAGAAAACGCTTGATCTGACCCCAAAAACAAAAAAAAATCAGCTCTGCAATATTTATAAGTTTAATAATGTAAAGGAACCATGTATTTGCTGTTCATGAAACATGTATCATCGAAAGTTAAGATATGCACCTTGTCCACTATAAGGCCACTATCTGGCAGTGGAAAATGGATAGAACGAGCCGAAGCAAATAATTGTGGTTCTATGTGCGTGAAAAGTTCAGAATCATCTCCATCACGATGAGCATAAAGAGAATCCAATGTTCTGGAACATTTAGGCTGATATCAACATAATTGATTTCAATGCATGTTAGGTAACCAAAGAAATCCTTCTTCCAGCTTACCTACATCCCTTCAGCATCAGATCACTGGTAACAATTTCAAATATATCTTGCAGTGCTTTCACAACATTACAGTACTGTTCTTCATTTCCCTCAACCTTAATGAAGAAAAGGTATCAACTAGAAGGAGTTGGATAGGTGTCATGCTGAAAAATGAAGAGAAACCATTCGAGATTTGTGTGCAACATTTTACCAGTAGTTCGAGTAATTCAACACATTTAGTATGTAGAGCTGGTAATTCACTCATGTTCAAGTCCTCAAGAAGTGTTGAGCACCCTATACTTCCCTCGATTTCATCCAATATTCCAGATATAATCCTGAATGACCAACCGTACAAGATAAATGAGTATTCAAATTTTGTTATTAAAACATGCAGGGAACTATAGGGCATATAATGAAAAATAGATACTGCAATGGATCATTAGATTTGTTTATGGCATCAATTCATTCTACTTACTCTACCTTTGTTCAAAATCCCCAACTACAAGGATTTCAAGAATGTACTTCAGCGAGTCGTAACATTCAGTTACTACCAAGTACATGTAGTCATCTCTTTTAATCTTTCTCAAAAGATCAGCATCCTTTCCCGAAAAATCTCTTGCAATACTCAATGCAGTTGAGAACTGCATAGAAAGACCACAACTGAGAGATTTTTGAAAACAGCACTCGGGATCATCAAGAAATGTAGGAAACAATACCTTATTTGCCAGAAGGAAAACAGGCCAACGAATTTGGCCTGAGAACAGTTCTGATGACAAAGGCATTTTCATCAAATGCATTTCCCTGAGTTTTGAATATACCAGCATTAGTTTTCTACTATACCTCCATGGTCAAAGAAGAATCTGATATGCTTACACACCTGTTACTTATGAGGTCCTCTTCACGAAAGCTACTAATAATTTGGTTCCATAGGACAACGAATTTCACAATACTGTTCTTTTCGAAAGCCTGAAAGTTCATAAATTATCTAGAATGGAAGCAAGGAAGTCTTAGAATTAATAATAACTATATCATGAAATAGATTAGTCCATACCTTTTCTCTCAGGCAGAGGAACCACTTACTGATTCCTTCCTTATTATCTTTCTCCTTGTGTGGTATAAGATATGCACTGAATGCATCTGGCAAAGAGTGAAATCTAATTCTCAGCATTCCCAGTGTCCTAATCTGCAGAACATGATGAGTGAGAACATCTTCATACTAACTCTCAGCGAGCAAGAGACATATCCTACCTCACCAAGATGGTGAAGAATTCCATAAACTCCACCAAATATGGAACAATAGACAGAGTACCATATTTGTGCATCCATGAAATAGACCTGAAAACATTAGATAACTAATTATTTATATAATGACAAACAAAACTCTACATTAGCAAACAATACTTATTGCGGAAAATCATTTATTAACCCACATTTATTAACCCACATCAGGGACTAAGAGATTCATAAATACTAAATAGGGAAGCATTAAAACATTTTTCCTATGCTAGACATGTTGTCATACAGAGGATACTCAATGCTTTAAGTGTAAGGGATCATGTACAATAGAATTTAATCTTACAAGTATAATAGGAGCCCAAATAGCAGCAATTGCACCAGCATTACTCTTGACTGAATCAATAAACACAATGTCAGATTTTTCCAGTTCCTTCTATAACCACCTAATATTGAAGGGATGTATCAATAGACAATTACCTTTGGGAAAGAGCTCATGCCAATCATAGTTCTTTATGCCAATCCTCATGATCTGTCTAGTGGGTGATATAAGAGGTTTAATCTGGACAGTCGGGAAGAAATTAATACTCCCACCATTGCACTGGCAAGGATATATAGTTTGACTCTTTTGGTTAAACTGAATCTTTCACCAATTAACAATTTGTAATCATTCGCTTACAGAAAGTTTTAATTGTTTCAGCACAAGAAAATTCTTCATAACATCATGTGATTAATTTTTTTTTTCCCGAACAAAACCCTTTTGTTTATTTAGTACATAATCATACATTCGTATTGAAATTTCTAACCGAATACATAAGATAACCACGGTGGAATGGAACATGTTTTTTCAAGTGCAGATTCGATGGCGGTGATTTCTTGCAGAAATTTAGGGGAAAAAGTATCATGATCGTAGGCGATTCTTTATCCCGAGATTTGTATCAATCAATTCTATGTTTGCTATACTCATCAGTGCCCGGATAAAGTATAATCGAAACAGAGTTGGCTCCATTTCCACCGTCACATTTTTGGTATAGTTAATCCGTCATATATTAAAAAAGTGTTTCAAAAAAATAAATACTTCTAAACTTCCTGGATGCTAATTTTTTTTCCAATGACATTATTAGGACTTCGGAGTAAAAGTGAAGTACGATTTGAATCCATTTTTGGTGGATTTGATAGCCACAGAGAATGGTACGTTGTTGATACTAGACTCAGTGGCTGAGAAAGCAAATCTATGGAGACAGAATGATGTGCTCATCTTCAACACCTACCAATGGTGGTTTTACAGGGGAACCAAACAACCGTTAGTAGTCTGATTCTCTACCATCTCAATTGCACCTCTTTGATCACTCCATCTCTGAGAAGCTTTATGCATCTTAACTGGGTGAATTTTATAATTTCATTTTTAGGTGGCAATTTGTTAAAGTGGGAGACAAGATATTGAAAGACATCGACCGAAATATTGCCCTCAGAGGGCACTTGGTACATGGGGTCAGTGGGTAGACAGCGACATGGATCCTGCTAAGACCAGGCTGTTCTTTCAACCGGTTTCTCCATCACATTACGAGTGAGTACCTTACTATAGTTATAGCTTATTATAACTTTTTCTACATAATTCTGTTGCATCCAAAATTTCAACTATTATGTTCCGTAAATGTTAATTATCAATTTGTTTTTTTTTTGGGACTATCTAAATCTACGCTGCTACAGTCTAAATCCACAGCCTAATACATTAATGACCTCTACCATGAGCATTGATAACTTGTATCGTATGTATTAAAAGTTGCATTTAAGATGGAGGGGTGCGGATTTAGTCCCTCCCCTTTTTTTTAATTCAGGATTGGGCGCGATTTCAACTAGACCATGTTGCTGGTGGCTATTCATATTAGGCCATATTAATCTGTATTTGCGATTATGTTACAAAAATTCTACCTTTGAGAATGTCTTCGTGAATTTTTTTTGTGGCTTATTTTGGCACAAAGTGGCAGGGATTGGAACCAACCCGAAGCGAGGAACTGTGCAGACCAAACGGAGCCAGTGCTAGGCTCTGTATATCCAGGAAGGTTGCCGCCAGCTTTAGGGTTGCAGAAGGAGGCATTGAGCTTAATCAAGAAGCCCGTGACATTGTTGGATATAACACATCTTTCGCAGTTTCGCAAAGATGGACATCCTTCCGTTTATGGGCAGGATGGAAGGAGTGGAATGGATTGCTTGCATTGGTGCGTAGGGGGTGTTCCTGATATTTGGAATGAAATCTTGTACAATCTTCTGTTCATCCCATGATTAGTTAATTCATTCGGGAAAAAAAATTACATCAAATTCTAAATGATATAAAATTCGGGCCATGAACCATTGAGAGAATCTGGAGCAGCGACCATATTTTATTGTCAAAACCATCAATGATGCAACTAATTATGAGCGTTAAATAGAAATAAACCAATTAATTTGTGTCAAATAAATGCTATGAGTGGATTTCTCAAAATACTAGTTGGGATATCAGAATGGTTTTTCAAATTCCAAAAGTCTTTCCTTGCCAAAATGATTCGTACGTGTATATTTGGTTGAGTTGTTGTATGCAGGTTCAGCGATAGAAATAAGTTTTATGCAAATGCTGCAACTAGCAAATTAATTGGTAAGTAGAAATTGATTGATTTGGTTGCTCAGTACGAGCATTTTTTAGCAAAAAGGTGCATTATGAATTTTGTGAAAAAGTAAAATATTTTATTTTAGATGTGACGAATAAAATTTACCATTGGTAAATATATGAAGGACAATTGGTGTAATTTTCTATTGTGAATAATTGAAAGTTCATTGAATATACAGTGTTGGTCGAGTTTAGCTTGACTAATCAAATTCGAACGAACTGTCACCAACTTAAACTTGATTTGAGTGCCAACTAATTTAGTTCACCTTTCAATCCTAATTGAGCATAAAGATTGTGAGTTTTAATGAGCTAAACTCAGGTCATTTGACTCGAACCAAACTTGAAAGTTCATCGACTATAAAGTGTTATTCAAGTTTAATTTGGTTAGCTAGTGAATCAAGTTCGAACAATTTCTTATTAAACTGAATTCAATTCGAGTATCATATAGTTTGATTTATGTTTCAGTCCTAATTTAGTATAAAGATTGTGAGTTTTAAAGAGCTAAGCTCCGATCAAACATCTAAAAACTCAAATAGACGGAGCTCGTGTTGGACAAAGCTTGGCTTAAAAAGCCCAATAAACATTCCCAGATATATTTTCCTAACTAATTAATTACTACAACTTCATCACAAATATATTCTTCTTATTTGGTAGTGAACTATTCATCTGTTGAACAGTTAGGTTCCGTTTGATAAAACTGAATCTGAATTCTAAAATCTGAATACTGAAACAATTAATTTGCTGAATTTTAAACACTGAAAAGAAATATATGAATGTCTGAATTTTAATGCTAAACCTATTTATACTGTTTGATGCTTAATAAGTTAAATTTGACAATTTTGCCCTTATATCTTTTCATCCAAAAAAGAAATAGAACCTATGATTTAATTAGCTAAAAATGTTAGGTATGAAAATGACAATATTTATTTTTAAATCAAATTAATATAAAAGATGAATTATATTATACGAGGAGTATGGAGAAGAAGTGAAAGTCATTCAAAAGGGAGAAATGAGAAATAGAAAATCATTAGATAGAGAATATTAAGTTGTTTAATTATACAAGAATTTTGAATATAATTAATAAACAATGATAGATTTGGTAGATAAGATAAGGTAGTTGAAGTAATTCTATTGATTCTTATCAGAATTAAGCATTCAGTTAGGATTCTTGTGCTGAAAAAAATACACACAAGTTCAGCACTACTTAACAAGTTCAGCAAATGGATTTTCATTTATCAAACACTCAAAACATTTGAATGTCTGAAAAAGTTCAGATTAGCACTTTTTATATTATCAAACAGACCCTTAATCGCAAATGCCGTATCCACATACGCAAGTTAAGTTGGTTCCGTCTCAAGGGTGATGCTGCTCATTTCCTTTCTTCCATTTTTTCTTGAGCATCACTTTTCGCAGGCCACGCACCAAACTGCAGTTTGTTCCATCGAAGTCCGGAAAAAATGGAACGAATTCTTGTGTTGTGTGTAGCGGGTTCCTGGTAATTGGAATGAAATCGTGCACAATTTTCTTTTTAGCCCCGAATTTCGTTCGGATATTCATTTGCTCCGCATTTTGTTTTGATTTTTCAGTTATTTTTTATCTTGGATATATATGATACTCCCCCTCCCACGTCCATTAATATAGTAACTGCCTATGATAGATACAACAATGTACTCTTTAATAAATTAGAGCATCAATTATCATATCCAGGTGATCAAATAAATGAACAGATACACCCTTTTAATTTCTTCTCTAAATTGCCTCAAAACCCATAACATTACCGACATAAATATGGATTGCTAGAAAAGTGTCGAGGCTGCATTAAATAATGGCCTTTATTTTGTTTGGAAAGTATTTAATATCTTTGACACAAGTCTCCTAACATAAGAAATGTAAAACAATTAAAAACCCAAAAGAAAATAAAACAAACAAATCCACGTTATCCACGACTAGAGATATAGAAACAAAAGCCAATATAGATAGGAGAAAGAGAGGGATTAATTGTTAGTTTCAACCATCATGAAACTTGTAATTTTGTATCTCCTCCTCCATCTTCTTCACATATACCAAGTCACAAGTGCAGAATACTGCAACTTCTTCAATGGAAGTTGGGTGTTTGATTCATCATACCCACACTACAACTCAACTACATGTCCCTTTATAGAGCATGTATTCAACTGCCAAAGAAATGGCCGCGGATGAGATGTACCTCAAATACCGGTGCAACCGCAAGAGTGTCAATTACAAAGTACGAGTTTTCTCATTTCTGGGCATCATCAATTCATTCATTGGAGCGTATTGGTTCCAACACTTTTGGATGATTGGAATGATTTTAACATTGCAATGCATGCATGATCGCATATGAAAGTACAATTGTAGTATTAATCGTAGACACTTGTATCCGTATGATGAGTTCTCATTGCAAGAACATGGAATTGATAGAATATTTCGATTGTTCTTACAGTGCTTAATTAGCAACAATGTAGATGCTGATTCTAATACTACCGCAATAAAGCCAAAATGGCACCTAAAAAGAAAACTTTTTTTGGGTCGCGGCTACATGGACAACTAAGAAATTTTAATCTCGAGCGAGGGAATTTTTGTATAGAGTTTTTTATTTGGAAGCTGAATTAGTGCATCCAAAACCATATTACTGGTTCTTGAAAAATGAGGTAGTATCAGAAGCTGTTGCATCTGTGATCTAACTGACAAGTTAGTATTGGAAGTGTGCTTGAATGTTCCTTTTCCTCCCCTTTTCAATTGGGATTTGCTGATGTCTTTTGAGTAACTAAGAATATGATTTTTCCGTAAATTTTGAGCTAAAAGACCAGAATGTTTCTTAGGGAAAAAAAAATCAAATTTTCGTTCTTTAAACGTTGGGTGATTGAGGAAACCTACTCCGAAAAAAGACAATTCTATTCATGGGGAGTAAATACGCCACACCCAAGCACAGTAAGATTTGTTTGTTAAGGAATTCAACCCTTGGACGACATGTAGCAAATTGTTCCACTGTGATTAATTTATTTAACTCGTGTCCTTTCCATTGTCTGATTTTCTGGGCAACTTGTTAGGAATGATATCTTAACTCTAATCAGCAATCTTGTCAATCAAAGAATACATTTTTTTTGGAAATTTTCAACCGGAAAAATATTTTAGTCGTGGTCCAAAATGTGAAATTAATTTGATGCACTGCAGATTCTGTGGCTTGGACTTCTTGCTAAGATTCAAAGGGAAGAGCATCATGTTTGTGGTGATTCTTTATCACGGAATCAATACCAGTCGTTATTATGCTTGTTGTACACATCAATGCCCGCGAATCAAGTACAAAGAGATGAGATCAGGCGACATCTCCGTAGTACATTTCTTGGTAAGTAAGCTTATCCTGTAGCACAACTTGAGCTCAGATTACTCGTTATTTGTTGAATTAAATTATGAATAGAGAAATCAAACTCAGCACAAATTTTGGAAAAAAAAATGGGAAAAAATTCAAGTTTATAAAATGATCAAGATAAGTCTATGAAATTAATTGTTCAACATTGCGTTAAACTCCAATTGATTAAGTTCTTCAAAGAAACGTTCAGAGCAATGTTATCAAAATCGCGAATCGAATCATAGATCGTACAATTTGAAATTTTCTTTTCCCATTCTCGCAAATCCTCCTTTCTACCATCTGCTAAATTTCGGAACGAAGAACTTCTTCTGCCCATCAATTATCTTAACCTTTGCAGGATTATGAAGTTCAAGTAAAGCTTGATAGAAATCTGTTTTTGGTGGATGTGGCACGAGACAAGGACAAGATTGGTAGGTATTAGTATTAGACTCAGTTGCCGGGAAAGCCCGTCATTGGCTGGTAAATGACGTGCTCGTCTTCAACACATTTGCTTGGTGGGGAAGAAGGATCTATGCAACCGTTAGTAGTGAAATCCCGTCGATCTTTAAATCTACGCATAACGCTTCTTAGCTTGAGCAAAATTAAATATTGTTTTCAACATTAATTGAACAGACTTTGATGTGTAATCGCAGATGGGATTTCATTAAACTCGGAGATAAGATAATGAAAGACATGGACCGGCTAGCTGCTTTGGAGACGGGACTCACGACATGGGCTAGATGGGTGATGCAGCTGTTAATCCTAATAAAACAAGGGTTTTCTTTCAAACCACCTCTCCAGCGCATTACAAGTGAGTTTCCTAAAAGAAATCACTATATCTTTCTTTCTTTTTTTTTTGGGTAAGATGATCAATGTATAATATATCCACAACACATCACACGTCAAATTTTATTCTTGGTGTCAAATTTATACCATAAACGAATGGGGTTTTTTTTGTTAATCTGAATTACAAGTTTGATTATAGTTAGACTATCCCCGTCCTTGGTCTCATTTCTATCTTGTAATCATCCGTCAAAGCAGTGGCAGCGAATGGGATGAACCTCACACCAGAAACTGCGGTAGGGAGACGAAACCGGTCCTTGGTTCGATATACCATGGAAATTTGCCGTGGGGTTTAGGCATACAGAAGAAAATATTAAGCAAGATCAAGAACCCTGCCTTCAAATTATTTGATATAACACACCTCTCGCAATTTCGCAAAGATGCACATCCATCTGCTTATGGCGAGTTTGGAAGAACTGGAATGGACTGCTTGCATTGGTGTGTAGCCGGAGTCACTGATACCTGGAATGAGATTCTGTACAATATTTTTCTCTAGAATGATTCATGTTATAGCAAGATAACTAATTGCCTTTAAATTTTGGACCTAATAAACTTATTTCTCTAGAATGATTCAATCAGTTGTTTGACAGGTGGCTGAATGATACCCAAACTTTGAAGTCATCTTTAATTAGCTACAGATAAAAGATAATCCTTCCCCGGTCCTCATTCGTAGTTGAATTCATTACTGTGATGAGGACATTAGGAAATTTAGTTAGAGTTGTTATGTCTAACATTAACTAGAAAACATGTCATATGATTGCATGCATCGAAATCTGGCAAACTGATCAATAATGTAGTTTTTAGAGTAAGTAATGCACCTAATGTTGATTGGGTGTATTTTGCACCTAATGTCTTGAATTAAAAAAAGTTGGTTTCTAAAATTTATCATCAAACACCTTTTTGAAGCTCGAAGAATATTCTGCTTAAATTCAAACGGTGAATGCATATACAGGAAACAGGCTTTTATGATCATGTCGGAATATCTTGCCGGCCTTAAGTCATCTGCTCGATGGTTGCCGAGAACCCAATGAATTTGCTGATATTATTTGTTTGGGAAGGATTTTCTTTGTATTCGTATTAATCTAATTAAGTAACCAGATTTTCAACGATCCCTAGAGTAGAACGAGAATGAATATCTAATGGTTTTGGTAACAAAAATAAATAAATATTCGATATTCATGTATCAGAGAAACAAGAAAGGATGTACGCCAGATTGTTGTTTTTCTTTACTTTTTGGGAGGATAATCTTAGTCCTTGGTAGACATAAATTGAGTCAAAATTCTAACATTTATTAATCAAATACGAAAACAGAGTCGGTGACTCTGTTTGGATCCCTCTGTTTTTCAAAAATTAGTTTTTCAAATACTTTTTAAAAAGTACTCTAAAAAGTAGTCTAAATTTTTTTTAATGTTTAAAAAATATCCCAATATATATTTTAAAAACTCTACTACTCTTGAATATTCAAAATATTTTTTAAAAATATCCCAAAATATACTCTAAGAATTCTGCTACAGTAACATTTTTCAAAAATACCCCCAAAAACAGCTAATTTTTCTGAGCATTTGCTCTTAGGATGGCCGATGATTAGATGCCTAATAATGAAGAATTTTTCTAATGTGTACCTAATTATGCATTCATTGTCACACTTAAATTACGCATAACTTACTATATTAACACATGCAATCATAATTAATGCACTCTCCTGCATTTAGACTTTTTTTTGAATTAATTATACTTTTCTAAAAAAAAAAATATAATTACTAATAGTATTCACTAGACATTCGTTAGTCAAACTGAACGAAAGACCAATCACTTCACCGAAAATGTTCATCTGGGTTCTCTTTCTATTGCTCAAATTATGTACAATTAGTTTTGATTAGTTTACGTAAAACAAAAAATGGCTACTAGTAAGTTCAAAAATACGTGATAGAATCCTTTTCCCCCAAAAAAAAAAAAAAGTGATAGAACTTTCATTCTATATCCTTTTCCTTTAATAGTTCTTTTTTGGGGTGTTTGCTTTCATATTAAATACTTGGATGTTACATCCGCTGCAATCATTAACAGTTTAGTAGCAACAGCAGAAATTGGCATGAAGTAATTGACGTTTGACATGCTTCCAAGAACTACCACTATCTGATCTGCCGCTTCCGACTGTCTATTTGCTAACAATAGCTTCCTTAGTCTTTTACCTGTGTACCTACCTGCATGGGAGAGAGGGAGTTAGTCATGCATTTTATTATTTTTATGCAATCAAATTTTTTTGAATTATCCTCGTCAACAAAGACCGAAAAAAAAAAAAAAAGAGAGAATATAATACGAGTTAAAACAATAAATTTGATTTAAACCTGGTTTTAGCTTTACCATATTGTGATTTTAACCTGGTTTGTCATCAAAACAATGAATGGCATAAAAAAAAAAAAGTTCAAATGCTTCTATTAACAAATCTGTTGCCTACATAGGATTTATCATTGTCCGCTGTTGATTAACATAGTAATTAACTGGCCTAAAATGCCTCCAAGAAACTGAAGAATCCAGGTGGACCCTTAATATGATTCCCACCTCCCTCTAATCTCAGCCCCATCCCCTCCCGCGGTATTTGTTGCCAACCAGGTATATATATATATATATATATATATACGTGAGGAAAATAGATAACATGAAAACCAGAAGGAAAGGAAAGAGGCTCGATCGAGGCCATTCCTTAAACGTTTCTCTCTTGACCAACCGCCAAGAATTCTTGCCTTTTCTCCCCCTCAGAGAGAGTAATTAAATTGTGCGTTCGCTCCATTCTTTAGCATTTTTCATCGTTTCTCTTCTTTTTCTTCCTCATCTTCTCCGAGCAAATGCAGAAAACTGCGACTTCTTCAAGGAAGTTGGTTTTCGATGAATCATATCCTATGTACAACTCCTCCATTTGTCCCTTCATAGAGAAAGAATTCAACTGCCTGAACAATGGCCGGCCGGACCACCTCTACCTCAAAACGGTGGCAACCTCAAGCTGCGATTTAGCAAAGTATGTATCTTGTCCTTTACTGTGATTGGCTCATCCAATTTGTCCGCATTAACCTGATAATGAACCATGAACAGGCAGTAGCTTTATTTAAATTCAGGTGATGCATACAACTATAGTATTATATGCATATGTACTAAATCAATGAGAAACTATGGATAATGAACTTTGATAAAGTAGGCCAATTCCCACACACTAATCTTATTACAAAACTTTTTCACCTTGCGTATGTAAATCATTTTCGAATTCTTATAATGAATCCAAATGGGGCCTGAATTGTCTTTTCAAGGACAGTAATAAATTGCTAAATAATTTAGTAAATTCACTTGCTTTATTTGGAATGTTTTTACATTAAGTGAATAATCTTTTATTGCATAAGCCGTGTCGGATTAATGATTGAATGCCATACGTAACTAATTATCTCCAGTTATAAGTATTGACTCGTCATTGCACTTGGCTTTTGTCATATTAAAGCTAGTTGTGCGGTTGCTGAGCATTTTTCTTTTTCTTTTTTCTTCTTTTGGAGCTAAATTCTCTTGTTTGTGGAACTTATCCTAAAATGTGAATCGAGGGGAAAAGGAATAGAAAATAAATTCTTAGGGAAGATGAATTTCTCCTTTTGGATGTCTCAGCTTCAAAGATTGGCAAAAAAGCTACTTGGAGAAATGACCATGTGATGGTTGGAAACTTGATGGAAAGGCTCCCATTTTGAGTAAAGCTATATACCTAATCAAGAACAATTAACTCACTTCAAGCGAGATTAAGAGGGGTAGCTGAAACCATAACCAACCTTAATTAATCATGTAAATAAGATACAAACTTCATTGTAATTTGCGGGACATAAGATTCCCAGACAAGGAATCTAAGATCCATATATACCAATGATTGCCACTATATATACCGTACCAAAAACAAAGATTGCTGCTTTATTTTCTCAAAGAAGTTCACTAATGACTAAACTACATGAATCCAAAACAATAAAAATTCGTGCACTGTTCGGAATCGAAGCTGTTCTTGAAAAAAGAAAAGAAAAGAAACGAAAATTAGATAAAGCTGTTCGTTGCTCAGAAGCCTACACACCTTAAAGACTTGGTTTTCTTTTTCTTTTATAATTTTTTTTTTTTGGTAAAGAACACCTTAAAGATTTGGTGGTATTGTCATTTGTTGCTTCATCATTTTCTCTACAGTCTGACTCAACCATTTAAATGTTATTATGTTAATTAAACTAACTTATTAACATATTCGATGCCCATAATCCCTTTTCTCTCCTCGAGTGATTACCAGGGTATTTACTCCATCAACTCTTATAATCTGCTACTCGAAAAATACTAAAACCCAATGTGTGAAAGCGTTGCTGGTCTCATGCAGATTTGACGGCCGTGCATTCTTGCAAAAGTTCAGGGAAAGAGCATTTTGTTTGCAGGCGATTCTCTGACCCGTGATCAGTATATGTCCCTGGCCTGCTTGCTCTACACTAGCGTGCCGGGACAAATTACAACATGACAAGAGTAGGCCTAATCTCCACCTTGAAATTCTTGGTAAGCTTAATCTCTTGGCCTGCAGTCCGCAAATGAATGTCATTATCCACTAATATAAACAAATGAATACATGATTGAAAATCTGAATTGAAAAGTTTTGAAGTTGGACCTCTAATTCTCCAACTAGTGGATAATGATTGGGAAAACAAAGATACAAGCAAGAAGCGTGTAACAACGAATCAACCAACCAAGTTGGCAAGTTGCTTCAAGCCAACTTTGTCCTGGTTAGGCGAAAATTGTTAAGGTGGTCCTCCTGCAGTCCCTTTCTTTACTAGTGCAATCCTGCATCTGAAACTTTAGGCAGATTTTTCACCTAGCAAAAACTTTGATCTCTATTCTATGCTGAACAACCTGTAGCTAGCTTCGTGAAAATCAACAATGATAATGATCCCTTATCTAACATGATGGTCCAACAATAATTCAATCATCGTTGACATAATTTCAGAAATTCTCATATAAAATTAATGGGCACCATATTTAGGCACAATCTAAATTAAAATTTACAACTTCTCAAGATATTATACTTCATGGGTACCATTTTAATGGCTCAACTTTTCTTACAAGAAAACAAGTCCCTAGGCCATATGAGCACGAGAAATCCAATTACCACCGTACATATATAGTAAATGTCAGATTATCAACTGATAGAGAGAGGATTTATGGTACTAAAGAAAAGAGGACAGAAAGCAATACGTTCTTCAACATTGATGCAACACTTTTAGCTACAGTACTTGTGGTCCAGAATATGAGGAAACATTTACAAGGGAATGTTTCTGTTTAGCTTAACGTAACAATGAGAAGTATTATACCTGGGCGTTAGCTTCAGAAACAGATCCTGGATTTGATGAATCAGCACAGGCTTTCTTGTACCTCTCAATGGTCCCCCTGACACTGCAAACGTAGGAAGCAGGAAGATACAAGTCAATGTTCATCAGATTTTTCGTCATAAATGTCATCAATCCTTCTCCATTCAGAAGAGACAAAACCAAGGTTAAAACTAGAAATACATTGACAAATAGCCAAACCAAGCTACATTTTTAGCAAAAAGTTGCCAAACAACATACATAGTACATATATAGCCACTAACTGTGTGCACATAAACTGCCAGTCTTCCAACATTTAGGTGAAGTTGAGAAAGGATGCCTTATTATAGACTCTTTTATGATTGAACCGAAAGGAGAGGAAATGTGAAAGGCTCTTTTGTTTTTTTTTTTGAGAAAGTAAATTAAAAAATGAACTTAACTACTTGACCCCTATATGTATATATAATCCGATCTTTTTTCTTTTCTTTTGTTCAAACTGCATTCATTTCTAAAAATAAAAAATATAAAAAGAGAAAGTTCACTAGACATTATTAGTTCTTGGTTTTTGACTATTCTTTTCCATATTATTTCTTGATTCGTCAAACTATGCTTTTTGTGTATATTCTCTACTCTTCTCTTTACTAAGAGGCTAAGGTTAGTTTTCCTTCGAAGAGCTATTTATAAAATTTTGGAGATTATTGAACAGAAGTCTGGAAGTATTTGATAAAAAAGGGAATGCATGTAATTTAAACAAGAAAAAAAGAAATAAATTGAAAAAAGAGAAAGAAGAAATTTTAGAGTCTTTAAATGTTAAGTTAAAACTCTGATGTGACCTAGAAATAAGAAGTTAAAACTGAGGAAAATCGTTTGTCATAAAAAAGTCAATGTCTAACATATTAAAACGATCTTTAAACCCTGAAAATTCTTGGAACTGGAGCTCTCTATATATTATCGAGGGAGAAATCATCCAACACTTTTGCAAAATCTGTTCTTGGAAAGAAATGTGCTCATAATCTTGTAGGAACTTGTATAGTCTTACTATCAATGCAACACATCAAAAGAAAACAGTAGACGTTCTTTAAGCATGGAAACCAAAAAAGTTAAGTACTCCAATGAAATGGTTATCTGAACAGTAGATCATCATCATCATCATATAGCTGGTGTAGGTTAATTAAAAGATGTGATTCAAAACACTTGTTGTAATTGCATGTCAAAGGTCTTCTATATACTATTTTAAGCCAATCTTGGTAAAAGATGTATTTGTAACCCAGACATGGAGAAAATTGACTTGGAAAATGCAAATGATATATTGGTAACTGTATATTCTAATACAAGTTTAAGCCAATCTTCACATCTTTTCCTGTAAAAGATGTTCATTAATGATTATAAGAATTCCAGATGTAGGATCTATTGAAATCTTTTTTATTATGTTTTCAATGTGTTCAATGTACTTGTAAATTTTCATGCAAAAAAAAATCCCATTATTTATTTATGCATTAAAGATCGTTTTGTCTGTTAAATATTTCCTTTTATACACCCATGCTGGAAAAATATCACTTTATCCTTGGAATCATTGACATGCATGCATGAAACTTTCTACCCCAAACTCTAAGGGGTTATTTCCTGCCAATATATTACTATAATTTGCTGATGAATTTGTGTCATTCTTAGAAAACTCCTTGAAGTAGGAATTGAAAAAAGAAAAAAAGAAAAAAAGAACACCAAACGCTAACATATTAGGGTGATTCTAGAAGAACATCAGTTCTTTCTTAGCATATTCATGAAATTCTAACGAGTAGACGATGAATTGGAAGCTATCAACTTAACTGTAACGTATATTTCTCAGTAACTACAGTTCAGAGTAAAAATTGTTTCAGAACAAGGTTGAGAATGTAACATTGGAGCAATCCTACATGAAATGTAACACAATGAGCTCATACATAGAATTAGAAACACTATACTGTCTTGGATATTTTTTAGTCTAGTAAAACCTCCTTACAAACTGCTAATAAGAGATAGGACACAAAATTATACTATGAAAACTTTATAAATTGCATATGACAGCTAATAGGAAAGTATTCAATGGTCATGTGTGAGCTCAAGCTTTCAAATGTCATCATCTTATAAGAATATTCTTTCAAATTTCACAAGAAAAGAAATAAAAGGCTAGTAGGATATAAAAAAAGTTCAAAGTGAGGAAATAAATGCTTTATATGTTAAAGATAGACTGGCCATTTATTTAAATTTGATGATGTGAAGTTCAAAGTGAGGAAAGAAATGCTTTATATGTTAAAGATAGACTGGCCATTTATTTAAATTTGATGATGTGACTTGAAGGATGACAATTGACAGGAGTTTTGGCTAAGTTAAATAAGAGAAAACATTTGTTTTATGAATTACCAAGAGGATTAGGATGTTGCTGTAAAAGGAGTAAGAAAAATGTCGTCATTTCAATTCCTTTTCTTTTAGCAAGTTAGATTGAAAGCTATCTATGCTCTATGATTAAGGGGACAAGTTCAGACATTTTCTTGCTTGGCCTTTGGAATTTCTAAGCAAAAGCACATACCACCTTAAAAGTATAGTGCCAAATTTGACGACTTCACACAGAAGATGGATCCTGCATATGCAAGGCATAAGCACATCACTTGAGGCTAAAACAAGACATTAACCTTTCTGTTTTTGGTTGTTTCTTTAAAAATTACCTATAAAATACGTATTAATGATGTTCTTTTGAAAACTAATTTGTCTTAGATCAAATATGTAAAACACATATGACCTGAAGATCATGCGTAAAGGTCTTTAATTATATATGATTAGTTAGCTTCCTACTCTAAAATGTCAGGCACTCTTTTGCAGGAAAACCATATTTTGTTGATATATAATTGCAGCATTGCAAAGTGGTATGCTTCTTTTACATGATGAGTGCAAAGAAGCAATTTCAGTGACCCAAGTAAAATCAAACTTCAAGTTTCTTTAACCAGTTTTTAGGCTGAATAGTAAACAAGACTTCGCACTATCGCAGACTCTGCAAAACTGTACAGTTTGGACAAAACACAAAACATACATTTCAGTATAGTCAGGATAAGCTGCAACCTTAATTTTGTCGAGCCACAGATGGGCTGTCCTATGCCACGCTGGCACAAGATCCTACAATATGATTGGCTTGAGTATCTATACCCCCACAATTGCCACGTGTCAACAACCCTTTTAACCCAAAGTGTAATACCCTCTCGATTGACCCCATTACCCACCTCGATTTTTTCAAAATCCCGAAATTGCTTTCATAGTTCCATTTTCTTGCAGTCCTCTATGCATTCTCTCACAACTTCAAAGACCAAATAAAGTTTTTCTCACTGTTGTACCATTATTGCTTGTGTTAGTGTGTGTTCTGTGTGTGAGCACTGAGTAGTAAGTGTTTCTTTGTCTGTCTGTCAACTCTTCTGATCTGAATACATCAGATTGAAGCTGTCTGTTTCAGACTTCAGAGAGCAGCCATTGTTGCATAAACTTACACACGCTTCCCCATGCAAGAAAAACAAAACAATCTAAAAAAGTGCAGAAACCCCATTAACCCTTTTAATTTTTCCGTACCTTTGATTCCCCATCCCCATTTTCTCTTTGTTTTTTCCTGATTGGTTAACAAGAAGAGTGACCTAAAAAGGAAAGATATAAAATTTTTATAAAAGGGCTAATTACCAAATTTAGCTTTCATTTTACCTTTCGTGCTTCTTCACCGTCTTCTGATCTATGGATGATCTCTTGAGCTTGAGAAGGGAAGTCAAAGTTTTGAAGAAAGGGCAAAGAAGTCTAAGTTGAAGGATCTATTATGAGTAAAATTTCACCTTTTGAGATAAAAATTTGACTGAGGAGATGATGAAAGACAACCCCAGGTTGGGAAGGAATATGGCACAGACACTCCTCCTCTTGTCTTCAAGTCTAGAACTGAAAAATCATGTGTGACCAGACCAAAGATTCTGGCCTAACTTATGATGTATGCACATCTAGAAATCAAACCCTAAAATCTGTACTAGCCACCTTAAAGTAACTTTTTTTTTTTTCAAAAGTTATTCTTACTGTAGCCTATAGGCTATTGCAAGGGGTAGAATGGTCAACTAGGATGACAAAATCCAAGAAATCTCATTTGTTATTAGAACCCTAATTTGACCTTTTGCGTCTAAAGATGGGATTTTGATTAGTTCTAAGACCAACCCTTTTGAGCTTTGAAACCCTAATCTGAAACTTCATTGGTCATTTTTAACTGTCATCTTCTTTTTCTCATATATACCGATGACTGACAAGTTATTATTTAAGGATGAGTCATGAGGTGAAGAGGATGGGATAATGAGGACATGACAGCTTAGGAGCAGCAGTCAGCAGAGAGCTTCATGTAAGCTGACAGGTGACATGTGGAGAGAGAGGGAGAGAAGGAAAATAGAGTGAGGAAAAATAAGCAAAAGAAAAGGCAAAGATAACAACAATGGAGATAATAAGAGGAAGCTGATTCCCAAGAATTTCTTTGCTTTTCTTCACTTGAATTGTTGTTTCAGAACTCTTAGCTTTATGGATAAGTTCTACTCCCATCTTTTATAGCAGATCTGAGGATTAGATCAAGCAAAAAACTGGGAAGGACGAATAGAGAAGAATAGAGAAGAAAGAGGTATGTTGCAAAGCTCATTAAGGAAAGAAAACAGGAGAGAAACAAGTGAATCTTTGTGAGGCAACTCTATCTTAACTGCATCAAATTATTATGTTTCCTACGCCAAAAAATCCCCAATTAAATACTATGACAGGAGCTGATGAAATCAAGACATATACATGTCCATCCCCACGACCAATCTGTCTTTCTAAATTCTGAACACTGGCATTAACACACGGGGAAAAGATGGAAACTTGAGAAAACTTCTTTTCACCAAATAAAGGAATCAATGAACAACCTTAACTTTGTCAAAACAACCTCAAAAACTACTAATTAACCTGTATAGAAGCAACTCGAGCAAGAACAATTAACAAGCAAATTTCCCTCAACCTGTTATTAGCATATTCGTAAAGGCGGCCGCGGCTGGAGAAGACAATCAGAGCAACTTCAGCATCACAAAGCACAGACAATTCGTAAGCCTTCTTGAGGAGGCCATTACGACGCTTGCAGAAGGTGACTTGTCGATTTGTAGTGTTTTCTATCCTCTTGATCTCAATCTTCCCTCTTCCAGTTTTTCTGAGCTGAGAAGAGGACGACTGATCAAATTGATGATCTTGACTAGGACAATCCATCTTCAAAAGCTGAAATAAGCAAAACCAATTTGATGATTCTGTTGATAAAGTGATAACAAAATATAGCCAGAATTGGAGGATGATGAGTTTTCTAGTAGTAAAACAGAAATATATAGAGGCATCCAAAATAAGCAAAGCAAGAAATTCTTAGTCACTCGGTATTGCGTGTGTTTTAGGTCAATATACATGGAACTTTTGAACTCTATACACTGACCTGAAGAAAGTAAAGATACAGTAAAGGGAGACTCGCTAGTGTAACAAACAACTAATAAGAAGAGAACGAGAGAAATGAGAATTCTGTTCTATTCTCTAGAGTCTACACTCTATAATAATGCTAAGGAAAATATTGTAGCTGTGAACAGGAGAGTTTTGCAGAAAATGGAAGTGAGAAGCTGAAGGGGAGGTGTATTTATAGGTAGATAATAGACCATCCAACAACAACAAGCTCTATTATTTTGGTGGTATAGGGTAACTATACAAATACTTTCATTTTCTTGTAGGGAAACTGTATGGAGGAGGGCTCAAGTTGATGAAGTACACAAGAGAGAGTTTTTGTTTGGTGTTTGTGGGTTGGGGGGGGGGGGAGGGGAATTGACTGCTGATGTCCACTTTCTTTCAGACTCCTTAACTCCATTAACCGTCCATTTCTTTTTCTCAAGTATGGGAAAAAGGGGGAGAGATAATGAGATCTGTTCTTTCAGAAAGTGACTATTAATGGGATTGAATATGACCTCGGTGAAGTTGCGCTCAAGCCATATTGTGAATGCAATGCAATGGATACATTATATCTATCTATCTTGGAGCTAGCTAGCTGATCAGAAAAAAACAAACAGAAATGAGAGAGCCTTTATTCATGTTGTAAGTAATTTGCTTTCTGGATTTTTGAGTTTCCCACTTTCTTTTCCCTCCATTCTCTCTTTCTCTCTCTGTCTCACTGTTCAAGAAATTGTTTCTGACCTCTTTTTATTTCTTGTTTCCTTTTCTTTTTGTTTACCTATGGTTGAAATGTTTTCACCGCTTCCATCCCACCAAGAACATACACAACCCTCCTCTCTCTTACATTATTAGATTTCTCTGATTGTAGTATCCATTCAAGTTGTGACGTGCTTGAGGGTGACTCCCATGTGATGTCCAATTCACCATCTCCCATTACACGGTTCATTTATGGTAAGAGGAGCCTCATCATACTCTTCAACCTTATTGGCCATAACCTTTCAGTTTTAGGGTCCATGTTATGTAGGATTCTTGCGCCCAAAAGTGCCACCCCAAAAATTTCCAATGCTAGCTTCAAATTAGATAGACATGTATCTATATCAAAAGATTTTCTCAGGACCTTTGCTGCAAAAAATAAGCATTGGTATATTGAAGAAAACGAATTTGTTGTGCAAAATACGTTGGTATCTCTTACATAGTTGTCCTTTCTTTGGGCTATCAAATTACAAGAGTGTCATCCATGCATCATTCTCTCTTTTTGTGCTCTTTCAATGTCATGTTCTCTAATGTATAAAATCTAAGCTTGCACTGAACTATGACCTCGCATTTTTCCTTTATGCTAGCTGCTTCAATCTTATGCTCTCTAATGCATAATTTATAAGCTTGCACTGAACAGTGTGATCTCACATTTACTATTTGAGTGCAAATGAGGTAGAATTTAAGTGATTATCACGGATGGTCAAATTGCAAAAAAAAAAAAAAAAAATTAGGAACAGACTCCAATGGTACTCTTCATGATCCTCAACATTACTTAATTTTTTGATTCCTCCACTAGGCACGCCACTCCCATTACAACTTCTTGTAAGAATTTCTTGATGTGGAACTCTATAGATGCTCGACGAAGCAGAAGAAAAAAATGAATTAGTGTACTAGTAATCCCTAATATATATGTTGATTTAGGGTGGTTTTATATAATTTGTTATGCACCTAATTTCTGAGTAACAAATGAAGTAGTATTTCCTAATAATATTCATGTTGGCTTTTTAACATACTCACAAAGTCCGCATAAGAACGCTTACTATGTCCTATCCTTCTTGGAGTAACAATCGACTCTTCCATAAATCTATTTTCATGCGAGGATCTGACGTTGGAAGATTTTGAAGCATCATATCTATAAGTGCAACTTCATACTTCTTGTGATACACGGAAATCTTAATTAGGACTATGAAAGGAGAAAATTTTTAACAGAATTAACCGAATTGCCTTCTTTCAAATGTGTTGTAGCCCTTGGACACTATTTTCTCATTCCCTTTTGAATTAATCTTTTCTATGTTAACGTATATATGACCTTAATAGGTCTATATATATGTAGCATGTGTAAAATGCGAAATTTAGATCTAAATTGAACTGATGTGGTGTGCATTTAGACCTATTAGAGTACGTATATATAAAAACGATTAAATCTTTTCATCAGTAGTTACCAGTAGGTTTTATCAGAAGGCTACGCACCTCAAATGTAAGCTTAGTAGTGTAACTCTTCAAGCCCTCCATTACTCTATTTCCCTTGAGTTTGGAGTTTCCCTTGAATTTAGGAAGGAAAGAAAGATGCTCGGGACAGAATAATAAGAAGATCGTATCTTGCAGTTGCTGGTCAACAATTCTTTTCAAAGTAAAATAGAGGATTTATTAGCATATATTCGAGAACTTAAATGGGTTTTGTTCACACCATTTAATATTTGACTGCTAGATTTGTATAATTTTGTTGCAAAAGATTTACAAGTTATCTGAGATGATTTATAATCCATGTTGAGTAATGAACATTGTTCCCCGAATAATTAGATCCTACTTCTACATCTTGCATCCCTACCATTTTGTTCAAATTAAAACTCAGAAAATTGAAAACAAGAAAAGAGACGTAGAACTATATAACCTAAATCATTTGAAGAAAATAAAAAAGAAAGAAAGCACAGAATCAGAATTCTACGTAATCATAATGATATTCCCTTACTCATCTTCTAAGGTATAGCTTCCTTTCTTAGTATTGGTTGGAGTAGATTTAGCAATCCATTTTAGTTTAGTTACTGAAGAAGTGAAAAACAGAATGCTTTTGACTAGATATCAAATCAAAGAGAATCGCATTAGGGTCCCCTATTTCTTTGTTAAGTGGGGGCTCCTGTATTAGTGATTATGACCTTTTGACACGACTTCTTCACTTCTCTTCTCATGCATCGATCCCTCCCTATTTGATCTACACATGCACTGCAACTTCATACCTCCAAGCTGACATTTCCCATTTTCGCATGTTATAAAACTTAGGACAATTTATTAAGATTTCTTATCAAGTTATGACCAATGGGGTGCACAACATACCAAGAAAGGAATCACTTTATAGATTGGAAGACTATAAAAGTTGTTCTGATGAGAATTCCTAGATAACTCTTGAGAACTGCTGGAACCATATCTGGAAGGATTTTTGGGAGATCCTATCTTATCAGTATTATGAGTGAAATTTGCACGAGAGATTTGTTTGCCAAAAAATTTTAAAAAAATGTAATAAAAGGTGAAGGTGCAGATTTTGCTATGTGCTTGAATAGAAGATTTATTTGGAAAATTTTTTTAAATAATTACTATAGTATTTTTTGTGATGTGATATATGAGAAATTAAAAAAAAAAGCGGTTCAAAAGACAAAAAGATGATTAAAAGACATGTTTGTCATTCAAGTAAAGAAATTTTTTTTCCAAATACTCACAAGGCCAAATCAGCGAGCTAAGCTATTTTTCGTGCAGTCTGCAATATTCTGCGTAGGCAGTAGCTTTTTGAACATAAAATCAGATTTTATCACTAATTTGTTAAACAGAAGGAAAAAGATTTATTGCATTTTTTACTACTCCAAAATCCAATCTACAACTCATGAAGCCTTTAATTTGTTTTACCAGGTTTTGTTTTCGTTGTCGTTAATTGTCTAGTATCTAAGTTGAATAGGAGGTGGGTTATATCTTTCTTTGATTTTCAACAGGAGATGGGTTTATGACTTTTTTCTTGATAATCTCAAGCGGAACAGATGGGAGGAAGAAGAAGAAATTGTGAAGATGAGTATCCGTCCACGAGGAAGCAAGCAAGATCATGACTTGGGCTCTCCTAACAACGCCAGCATAAGATATGTAGCAATCAACTATTCATTTTCTCATTATTTGAAGAATCTCTCAAACTCTGCTGTTTACCTTCTTCAACCTCAATTTATCCACCATATTTAAACAAGAAAAGCTCCCAACATTGGTTGTTTCTATGACTAATCATATATTTTTACTACATCTGTCTGCATATAAAGTATGAACACTCTTTTGTATTATTATTTTCTATCACTTAATAGATTTTCTAATTTACCATAGCCTAAAATGATTGTCCAATAAATGATGGTCGACCTCTTTTGTTTTCTTCTCGGCCGAAATTGATCGTGAAATATGTGTATGGTTTGGTAAAGCACCAACTTTCAGTGCAAATGAACAACATTATGGTTTGTCACCAAATTACTTTACCTTCCTCTGAAGTTTGGACATTACCGAAAAAATACAGAAAACTAATCAACCCGTTTTCGAGAAAATGGATGCTCTCCCATGATATTTATGCTCATCGCTCAATCATTAACAAACTCTAATTGTCAACCAAACGCGTTTTTCCATGACTTTTTTTTTTCTTTCCTACAAAGTTGAATTTGTTGTGTCCATTCACATATAATATTCCATCAATGCAAAACAGAAAGGGGAAATGAAGAAATTGTCAATGTGAAGTGGCAAATGATCCAAAATTGACCATTTATGAGATGAGATATGTCATGTTTAGTTGATTATTCCCGAAGAGGTGAATCATGAAATTGAGTATCAAGATTATGTGTGGCTTTGTCATATTGGAATGTCATATAACCTAAATCATTCATATTACTTTCTCTTGTCTTCTACCATCTCTACTTAGATGAACAAGCTACATGACTAGCATCATTTGAGCCCTTAAAAAACAGTTATTTGAGGCATTTGTAGACCTCAGAGAAATGTTTCAAAATCAGCATTTTCAATATAATTTTGAACAGTTAAACAAAAATGGAAACAATAGATAGAATAGTCCACGATAACTTGTTTAATTAAGCAAAAGATTAGAATCAACTCAATTCTAAGCAAACAAAGAAGACGTCCTAGCTAGTCAGAATAAATGCATTCCTTTTTGTCCTGTTCGGATTGTAATTTTTGAAAGTTTTTTTTTTGAAGAAAAATAGTGCCCGAGTATTTGTTTAAAATGTGATATATATGAGGCAGAAAGCCGGTTAGAAATTTCACAATCAGAATATTAATTTTTCAAAAATCCCAAAAGCGATTTTGTAGAAAATTAGCATCCACACAAGGTTTTTTTTTTTGGTTCCAAATTTTCTTTGTTTCTTTCATTATGGGTAGG